ATGGGTGGTTATCAAACGAAAAGGCAGAAGTGTGATTTCGAAAAGGATGTGCGACGGAGCACAATTGCGGGGAGATTTTGGAAGCAAGGGCTCTTATAAAAAATTCATAGATAACAACGAGGAAGTATTGAGAGATGGGTGTGAAGGGCGCGAAGATTTGCAAAAAAATAACAGTGATGCCATGCAATGATGCGCGATTCAATTTAATTCCATTCGATTTGATTCGACTTGACTCACCTTACCTCAAATCAACTCCGTCTCATTTACTTCGATATCCTTTATCTTCCATTGATTCAGAGCAGTTTCCTAAACTTGCCTCTATTCGACTGGACTGAACTAAACTCGACTTGAGTTGACTCAACTTCGTTCAACTTTACTTACCTAGTATTGATTTAGGCCCAATTTTTTTTAACTTAGTTTGCATTCTTTCCAGTCGAAACAACTCACATAAATTCGAGACGTTTGCTATGATTCAAATTTCGAGTTGATCCAATGCCTCCAGTTCAATGAAGTGTCAACTCTATTTGATTCCCTTCCGATTTGTTCAATTTATTTGTGCACTTTTGGATTTGTGTTCGTTGCCCTTCCAATTTTTAGATCGGTTTTGCTTCTCTTTGGAATTATTTTGCATACTTTTGAATTTGTGCAATTTGTTGCGTTTCCCTCAGGATTTTCATTTGCTTCACTTTTTCCCTTTTCAATCCATTCGGTTTCCTCCCCTTCCCTCCTTATACATTCGATTCACTTCCCTCGCAATTTGTTTAATCTAATTCCGTTTAATTCGATTTGCTCAATTCCATTTCGTCCAATCTCATTCCACTCCATTCAATTTCTTTTTAATTCGTTTACTTGGTTTTAATTCAATCCCCTTAGGATTCATTCAATTTATCTCAATTCAGTTTAATTCCCATCCTATCACTAAACCATAAGTTATGATTTAGAGTATAGTACAGGTGGTGGACTAATGAATGAGATGGTCGTATTTTTTAACAATTAGGTAAAGAATAAAGGACCAAAAAATCTCTTGAAAAGAGACAAAAACCCAATGATCATAATAATTTAATTCAATTCAATTTAATTCCCATCCCATCACTAAACCATAAGTTATGACTTAAAGTATAGTACAGGTGGTGGACTACTAGATGAGATGGTCGTATTTTTGAACAATTAGGTAAACAATGAAGGACAAAAAAACAATATTAAGAAGAGGTAAAACCCCAATGATCAGAATCAGTCATGATAAACGGAAGGTCATGAAGTGAGGATGCAAAAAAGTTACGGAAATTTTCCAAATTATTGTAGAATGGACAAGGCCATGCAATACCACATTGAGCACATGCTTTCCAATGTGATTCCATTCGCGGCTTGACACAACGCTATTTCGATTTGTTTTAACTCGACTCGACTCAGCTCGCCTCTACTTCTCAATTTGGTCTTACCTCGAATCCCCTTACCTCACCGCAATTCGGTTCACCTCCCTAAAATTGTCTGAACTCAGCTCGGCGTAGCTCATCGCAACTAGAGTCACGTCATCTCAAGTTTGACTCCACTTAACTCGTCTTACCTCATCTCGAACTCGGCCTTGTCTCCAATCAAATTTATTCACCTTGCATCGACTCAACTCACAATAATATTGACGTGGATTCAATTGTCTTCTGATTCATTCACTTCGATCCAATTCAATTCCCTCTGATTCGTTTAATTAATTTCATTTCAATATCATTCTGTTCAATGCAATGCAGACCAGTCCAATCCAGTCCATTCAAGTCCATGCGAATCAAATCTCAATCCAATCCAATCCAACCCAAACCGCTCCAATCCATCCATCCGTCTATCAATCCATTCATCGATCCATCAATCCATTAATCAATTAATCACTCAATTCATCCATCCATCAATTAAATCAATCAAATGAATCTTGTCTGTCAATCATCGATTGTCCATCCATCCATCTCTCCCTCCGTACCTTTGTCTCCGCATTCCCTTGTCCATCTCTCTGTCCCTCTGTCCCTCCCCCGTCTGTCCCGCCACTCCTCCACCCTTCCCTCCCTCCGTGCCTCCATCCCTCCCTCCCTTCCCCTGTCCATCCCTCCATCATTCCTCCAGTTCGTTTATCCGTTCATCCTTCTGTCCCTCGATCTGTGCGCCTGTCCCATGTCCCATTGTCAATCTCTCCCTGTGTATCCATTAACCCACCCACCCATCCGTCCATCCATCTATTGATCAATTAATCAATTTACTGGTACACTCGATCAACCTGGCACGGTCAGCAAGCTTACAAAGCCCTTCCTCAGGGGGAAAATGCTTAGTGGCATGGGGAAGCGAGCAAAAAGGGATAAGGGGAGGAATGCTACAATTGTCGTTGTATATTACAGAGGGTAGTGCCACGTTTGGGGAGGACGAGTTTCACTCCGCAGTCGTCATGGATGATAATGGGTCCCAGACTGTTTGCAGCAGTCCACAATTCTCAAGAGCCGTGCGGTTTTCAGAGCACACGAGTACAGTCTGCATACGGCATACAATTCGACATAATAGGCACTGAGTTCTGGGACAGGACGGTGCAGAAGCTATGACTCGTCACGACGCATGATCAAGACTGGGACTTCAAACTCTTGCATCCTTGTTATCATGTTTTCTCAAAACTATTTATTCTTTCAAAGAAATTTCAAATTTCAACCGACTCTTCTTTTGAAATGTTATCTTCTTGAAAGGAGTGCGAAGTCGTGAACTTTCAACTCAGCTATGTTAACTTCTTTTGCAGATTCCGATGGAGTGTTTCTCTCTTCCGACCTTCCAACTCCAAAAACTTCAACATCAGGACAGTCTGGTTCGGGGCCTCACTCCACTACTCTCAAGGGACTAAACCACCAGTACTTGGCCCAGCTATCAAGTCCGAGCCTCGGCCGACCGGTATGTCGAGCCTTGCCGAGGCTCCAACTACCGGGCGCTAACTTCCCAAACGTCCTTGGAGAGGAACACCGAAAAAAGAACAGAAAAGAAAAAAGCAAAAAGCAACGACAGAAAAACGGGATTTACTCTAAAAAACTAGGCTACCAGAGTGGCCCGGGGTCACTTGCCCGGCCGGGCCAAAAACAATTAAAAAAAAATGTATATATTTTTTAATTTTATTTTGTTTTCAAAATTTGGTGCAGAATTTCGATGTGACCCTGAGGCAAAAGTTGTTCAGTTTATTTTTCTGCATAACATAGCTTTTTTTCGGATTTTTTTGATTTTTTTTTTTTTTTTTTTTGCTGGGACCTTCCCTGGTCCTGGCACGGGCTGGCCACCGGGACCCGGGCGGCCCGGCTGGTAGCCTAGCTAAAAAACATGGAAAAAAAGAAAAGAAAACGGCTACTACCTCCTCGACATGCACAAAAGACGATAATCAAGGCGGTGTATCTTTACATGTTCATGCGGAAGATTCACTCTCCTTTCCGTTTTCCGAAGCGAGCGAGAGAGAGAGAGAGAGAGAGAGAGAGAGAGAGAGAGAGAGAGATAAGATAGATAGATAGATAGAGAGAGAGAGAGAGAGAGAGAGAGAGATAGATAGAGAGATAGA